TAACAAACTCTCGAGTACTTATGTATGCGGATGATGTTAAACTCTGTGTGCAGTATAAGGACATTTCATTTCACTCTAGTGTTGTGCAAATATGTTACACCTTAGTGCCTCGAAATGCAAAGTAATGACATTTCATCGCTCCAGCCTGTTTTTGGCTATTTGTAGCCTCTGCGGTGGTTCTCTTGAGAGAATTACCTTGGTTGATGATCTTAGTGTTAAACCCCAACTTAAAGTTTTCTGACGCATTTCTACCATGGTAAATAAGGACATGGGCGTGCTTGGGTTTATAAAGAGGTGGTCAAAGGAATTTGACGGCCCCTATATAACGAAAACTCTCTGTATCTCGCTTGCACAACCTGATCAAGGGTGACGTAGATAGCCCTGACTTGATGAGCCGCACAAACTTTACGATTCCGATTAGATCTACTAGAAACATTATTCCTTTGTTCCTTCCGCTTTGTAGATCAAATTATTCCTTGCACGAACCATTTAGGGTCCTATGCTCGGACTTCCTTTTCTTAAATCACTAATTCTAACATACCTTTCCCGTAATTAGTACTATTTCTTAGCTATCTTTGCATGTTTAGCTCTTTGAGTTGTGTTTAGCTCTAATTTTCCTCGAATTTTAGTCTAACACCTATCTTTCCTGCATGCTCGCGGTCGGTTCGGTAACACGCGTCGGTTGGTTGGGCGGAGGAGGAGGGGCTGCGTTTCTGCCTGGGTTCCGCGCGTAAAAGGTGCAGTCATTGCATATCAACTTCCAGACAAGCGTCCACCAGAATCGGAATCTACTGGGTTTCATTTTAGCTTATAAATAACAATAGCATTAAACGGGATTAGATACCTTAACTTGAGAAAAATATGTATATATACATACATATGTACATTCACAACAAAATCACTGTACGTCTCATTGGTACGCCCGATATTGGAGTACTGATCTTGTGTATGGAGCCCTCAATACAAAGAGCAACAAATTCAAATTGAATCCGTAACAGACGGTTACCTCCATATCGATCCAGGTTAAAACTACTCGACCTACCCTCCTTACACCATCGCAGAATTTGCAATGGCGTCTTATTCATTCACAAGCTCATTCTCGGGCTTGTGGACTCCCAAACTCTGATGGGACAGATACATTTTACAGTTCCTTCCAGACCAACCCGAACTTTCCGGCCTATCCGTTTACCCTTCAGCAGATCTAACTTCGCGCGGCACGAACCTTTCCGTGTTCTTTGCAATAATTAAAATTCCTTTTACAATACCATATCTACCGAAATATCCCTTGATACGATTTTACGTAACGTTTATTATCACCTTAACCTATCAAATTTGTAAAACCTTTCTTTTCTTCATCTATTATATTTTTCTTTAAGTATGTATATTCCTATTATAGTTCATAGTTAGCAGATATTTGTTAATTAATAAAAATAAAATAAAAATAAATAAATATTAAAAATTTCAGACCGATGACTAACTGCGTCAAAAGTTACATACTTTTAGCTCCCACAAACTACAATAATTAATTACAACAAAAAAATATACATCAAATTTGTTGTAAAAGATGCATCAGAATCGAACCCAACATGATCGGAAAATGTGTTACTGTTTTTAATACCTTAAATTCCTTAATATACCTTAAATACCTTAACCTGAAATCTTCATGCTTCTCAGCGGCATTTCGGCATTTCTTGCGAACAAAAATTGACCCGCCCTAATGCACATGCTGCTACTTCTCTCTCTCTCTCTCTGCCCACAGTCTGACCAAATCTGCTTGCAAAATTCTGTAGCATGTCTAAATAGCGTGCAGCCTCAGAAAAATTATGCTTGACGTGCAGCCGCTGCATCGTTTACAGCCAGCTTAATGGCATGGAATGACGGGAAATTGTTAAGATGAAATTTCCTATAGAAGAGAGATTATCCCGCCAATAAATAGAGAGACAATGGGCACGTTCACCGAACAACTTGATCAGAGACACTAACCATACAGTATATAGATGTGCCAGTTCATACAACGAAAGGGGCGCAAGCTGAGTGTTCTGTCCCGGCTCCCAGCGCTTCGGCTCTGTGAGGCTGAGACACTCGGGTCGGGAGCCAGGCCATTCGGGTCGGGAGCTGGGCCGTTCGGCATGTATGACTCATGTCGAGAAGCGAAAGCAAGCTGAGAATTGCAAATGTATGTGTGTAAACAGACACGACAAAATTTTGTATCAATTCTTATTTTCCGAAACCGTTTTGAGTTTCGTTTCCAGGTTACGTAAATGTGTGTGTGCCATGTATTCACACATACTGTGCTTGTGTGTGGGCTCTACAATTGTTGGCCGCTTGAATTGGTTTGTCGTTTTGTTTTGAGGGCTGATGTGATGTAGCGACCTATTGGGCCGGATCAACCCTGAACCGGGCCCTGGGCAACCATTATATTACTATTATATTATTATATTATATATATAATATATATATAATATATATATATTATATTATATATTATATTATATTATTATATTTTGTATTCAATATTTGGAGTTTTGTCTTTTCAACAAAATTTTTTTTTTTTCTAGGAGGGCCCTAGGCAACTGCTAATCCGGCCCTGGACCTATTCCCGTCGTAAGACTTCATCTTGGTGTGTTCTGTCGCTCGACTCGACGCGGGTCGGGTCGAGGCATTGACGAAGCCGTTCATAAAATATTTTTTCGTTTTGTTTTGAAAAGCTGTTGTTGCGACGGGCGCGCAGGGTATTTCTTCCATTCTCCTTTCGGCTTGCCTCTGCTTTCGGCTTCGTCAATGCCTCGACCCGACCCGCGTCAAGTCGAGCGACAGAACACACCAAGAAAATATGAAGTCTTACGACGGGAATAGGTCCAGGGCCGGATTAGCAGTTGCCTAGGGCCCTCCTAGAAATAAAAAAAAATTTTGTTGAAAAGACAAAACTCCAAATATTGAATACAAAATATAATATAATATATATATATATATATATATATTATATATATATTATATATATAATATAATAATATAATAGTAATATAATGGTTGCCCAGGGCCCGGTTCAGGGTTGATCCGGCCCTGAATAGGTCGCTACATCACATCAGCCCTCAAAACAAAACGACAAACCAATTCAAGCGGCCAACAATTGTAGAGCCCACACACAAGCCCAGTATGTGTGAATACATGGCACACACACATTTACGTAACCTGGAAACGAAACTCAAAACGGTTTCGGAAAATAAGAATTGATACAAAATTTTGTCGTGTCTGTTTACACACATACATTTGCAATTCTCAGCTTGCTTTCGCTTCTCGACATGAGTCATACATGCCGAACGGCCCAGCTCCCGACCCGAATGGCCTGGCTCCCGACCCGAGTGTCTCAGCCTCACAGAGCCGAAGCGCTGGGAGCCGGGACAGAACACTCAGCTTGCGCCCCTTTCGATGTATGAACTGGCACATCTATATACTGTATGGTTAGTGTCAGAGATCAGTGATGGATTTCTTTAAGTAGTGTTGGTAAACGCACATGATTTAGTGTTTTTGATGCAAGAATTCATGGATTAGATTTTTGGAAATGGATCGTGAAAATATTACGATTCACATATACTTTCGTGTATGATGGATTGGTCTTGGCTTATATCGATAACTGACATAGAATATGAACTAAATCGTAAAGCCTAGTACTCAGATCGAAAAACTGTTTGCTAGCAAAAAGATGTCATATATTTTTCGAGCGACCAGTGGTGTGACCAGAGGTGTGCACTGCATTCCGAACGGTTACACTGCTCAGACCGCTGCTTGGTTTTGTTTAAAGTTAACAAAATGCACTTCTTCGGCTGGGGCCGCTCTTCCCCAGGCATATCCTGGGCTCCCCAATATTTTATTGGCAAGGTAATGTGTCTGACTATCAGCAGGAGCAGATGGCGACGCCACCCGTGCCGACCACCGTGAAGACAAACTGTTTTGAAAGCAATATTTATTTTATATTTATGAAAATTAATAAAAATATTATATTATATATCCATATAATTGCCCTTTATATAATGCTGCATTAATTAGATTCTATTTGTCTTCATTATTAAAATATTTCATTTGGTTTTTTGTTCTCTTATTGCAATGTTTGCTTCGTGTTTGCTGGCAAAAGATATCAAATTGATATCTTTTTCGAGGTGGGTCGAAACATACCAAAAAAACAAGCAAATACTTCTGATACTTTTCCAGTATATACCGATCTTTTTGTTTTTTGATCTGAGTACTGCCTTCCGTACAGAGCCTAGAAAACAGTTTTTGCCGTAAAACATTTCTTATCGGTTTCATACGAATATCAACCCTGATTCTGTTCGCTAGGTGTTTTTTTCGATCTGAGTACTAGGCTTAAAGAAAAATATATATAACCATATTAATAAAAAATCATGAAATTGGCTGATACTTCTGATTTACAAAAAATATTAAAATTTGACTGTTACTGTTTTTTGTTTCGATTCGCGAATCTCCTAAGCCAATATCGATAGGTTCTAAGCCGATTGTATTGGCAACGTCGCGATAGTAAAGTATGGATCATAAGCGTTTACCAGAACTCAAAACATGATGGATGAGATCATCATCGCTGATCAAGTTGTCCTGGTGATCCAGCCCAATGCCTCGCGAAAAGGCGAGCAAGTCCCAACATTGAGAGAATGTATGGAAGTTTCGATAATAAACCTCTGAAAAGGATGCAATTTATTATATATATATATATATAAATATATATTTTATATATTATTTACATATACATACATATACCGTAAATATACTTTGAACTCAATTTCGACTTCAAAATATCCGAAGAAGTATATAATATATTTAAACGGTTGCCCTGGTTGATAAGCCAGAATATGAAGAGAATAGAATACAATTCATCGGCAGCGATAAGTAGCTAATAGAATCTCTTGACTATTTATATCGAATAGTTCAATCGCTTAGTTTTGCAACGAAATTGCGAGAAATATTGCATCGACTATATTTCCTAACGCCTTTTTCAAATTATGCTGGTTAAAAATAAAGTTGGCAGCACTATAGGCAATCTAATATCAATTTAATTTAAATTTAAAAAGAAAATCGAAGGGGTAAATATATGCTCATTTAGATAATACCGACCCGGGCATATGAACAATTAACAAACAAATTGTTCTCTTTAGATTAGAAATGCTAGGCTAGATTGGTACAAAATAAAAAAAGTTTAAGCAGATGAAAAAAACGCGCGTTGGGTGCATTCCAATAACTTGAACACATTAAAAAAATTTTATTTATGTGACGTGCTGGTTTAGTTATTGTGAAAAATCAATACATAAGGTTTTTTTTTTGTGTATGTGAGTGCTTCAGATTGTGTAGCAAGTTTGTTAAACAAAAGTACTTCCTTGACGCTAGCTCACGCGCACAGGATACCATACCACAGCACGTAGGGGAGGTCTGCATCAGCCAACACAAAGCGTCACTTTATCTTTCTACAAACTAAACGCCAGCAATCTTGCATAAACTCAACGCAAAACTTAAAACTCCTTGCATCCAGGTATGAATTTGTTTATTTTTAATAAATGCAAATGGTATTTACATTCATTATACATAGATGATCAATATGATATGTAGCTGTTTTTCATTGCTACATCCTTGATATTAAGTGAAAAGCTAGAAACCACAAAAAAATCTATAATTATGGATCTATGGATTAATATATAAATATTGCTATTATTAACTTACATGTACGTATGTATATATGTATGTGCAAAACTATATATTTTATTTCCTAGTGCCGAGTTTACCCACGACTCGAACTGTAAACATTGACATAGCCTCAAATTGTATACTGTCTCTTATTTTATTTTTGTTGTGCTTGGTAATACTTGTGATATTTATGTGTGTGTATGAACATACACACATATGTATATTTTTGTCTCATATTCATATGTCTATGCTCATACTTGTGCATATATGTAGTGTTGCTGTTGGTTGCGGCTTTCTGCTCCTTCAAAACAAATTTAATCATAAAATACTTGCTCTTACGCCAACTAAATATCTATTTAGATATGTATTTCTCTCTATTTTAAAAGCATTTATATGCATGTGAACATACAGATGCATATGTATGAAATTTTTTTTTTATGGATGCATTTAATTTATTTACATATGTATGAATGTACCTACATATGTATGTAGTTGAATGCTCGAATTTTGCTTAAGCCCTTTCGTTTTCATTAAGCTTACCACACTACACTCCGCGACACAAAAATAAGCCTTCATCCAAGTGTCTATTTCTATAAAAAACTTGTAAATCTGTAATAATTAGGCAGTTACCGGCTTTCACAACAAAAATGTGATTTTTCAAAACGAAAAGTCAGGCACTTGCAAAAGGAAAAAATAGATGATTGACATGAATTAGACACCATTTCCAGTTCAATTGATCTTGTGGCCTTTTTATAAATATTTTTTTTTAAATCAACCTCAAAATTAGCTCTGAAAAAATTGATCAGGTAAAAAAAAGTGAATTCATCTTAACAGCTGTTTCAGCCCGATTTGGCTATCGATAAATCTCTGTTGACAGAGGCATTTTTGTACGAGATGGCACTACCGCGTGGGTATAATAGGCTGTTTACACTGGGGCTGCATGCTTCTTTGCGTCTTGCTGGAGACGCAGTTTTTTTTTACTTAGGTTAAGCATGGGTCCCTAGTGGTGTCAAAAAGTTGCTTCGCTCTATGATGCATGTGCGTCTATTCGAAATATTCAATTGCTTTTGCGCTTAACAGCACATTTTTGCACTTTTCTGACTATCAGCGCAATTATCAGCACTAAGAAAGCGTTGGTTCAAGGAATTTGACGACCCATATGTCACCAAAACACTATGTCCACAGTACAAGGAGCAACAGTCCATTCTCGAATCGGTCTAAAAACAATTTTTGCTTTACGTAATTTAAACTGGGACTCGGATAGAATCTTGCCACCTTATCAATCAAGGCTGCAACTAATTACGCTCAACACGACCCTTTTCGAATTTTATGCTCTAATTATAATAATCTTTATCATACCCTATCCCCTGAATTATGCTTAATAATTATAGCCAGTAAGATATACAGTTGTGTTCAATGAAATAGTAGTGCCGCACCTCATCACTTTCAAAACTCTTTTTGAGACACTTCCAGTTATCCAAATTGAACAAATGATACCTTTTTAAATAGACTGGACTGTTAGCATTAGAAAACCGAAGAAATATCCATACATTTCAGTTCCATTTTCTAGTTTTACATGACATAAGCCGAATACCCATAAAATATGCTGTTCAATGAAATAGTAGTGTTTTTTTAGAAAATTAAAAAACAACGAAACTCAAATAAAAACATATATTTCATGTTCTTCATGTTTCTTGAGCTTTAATATTTAGTTTTTTATTAATTTGGTTTTCATTGCGAACTTGCACCGGCCGGCTATGGGTCATTAATCTCTTGCCAACGCTTCAATAGGATTTGAGACAATAATCCATGAACCACTTGCTAAAACTTGGCTCTGGTTCACGGATTTGCAGTTGCAACAATGTATTTGGTATTCCAGCATAAGATTTCGATGAGATTTATATCCAGTTGGACAGTTGGCCATGGAAAAACGTCGATCTTTTCCGATAAAAATAAATTCCTAGCGAGCTTTTCTGAGCATTTTAAGTCATTATCCTGTTAAAAGATCCTGTTAACATGAATTTTTAAACTGTAATATGAATGTAATGTATTCTAAAGTATACCTACATACACAGTTTCGCTCAAAACCACACTATACTCAAACGCCAGGCTAGAAAGTACTAGCTTATAAGAGCTGGGCCCCATAGGGCTCAGCTAGCACGCCCAATGCTAATTTTTTCATGATTTTAGGTGGTAATCGGATTTCTGTGAATGCCAAACATAATCTTTTGAGTTTATCTTAACATATAATACAACTTTACTATCTTTAGTCAAAAGTATTTTTGTCACTGTGACACAGGCCATTCCACATGCGTTTTTCCAAACTGAAGTCGTGCACCCATGTACTCTCAGACCCAAACGCGGAGCTTTCTGGGACTTCTTGCATTCAAATAATGTGTAATCAACCGTCTAAGAACCGTCACATCACTGACAGAGCGACTTACAATTTTTTTCATAATTTTTGAGGATATTAAAGGCCTGGTCTTGCCTTCGACCATCGCCGACCATCCTCTAAAAAATAATTTTTTCGCATAAAAAATCGATTTCCAGTCTACTTCTTTTAGTTAATTGAGTTAAATACAATAGTGAGAGTGCCTACAACTTAGTTTTCAATCCCATTATGCCTCCTGCCTTAAGTTTTTAGTCTAACTCTTAGGTCTCCTCTTCTGGACCGAACAATGATTTCTTCAACGCCTCAAAATCAAAAGTACCGCTATGTCCAAAACTTTCTTTCATCAAATTATTCAATAACCAAATTGAACTTACGGATGGTGACTTATTTAAAAAAAATTGCTTTGCTTTTTCATTTTTAAAAATTAATTTAACCCAGCACTACTATTTCATTGAACAGCAGATATCATGGGTAGTTGTCTAAAGTCATAAATAACAAGAAGATAGAATGCAAATGTAATGGGGTTTCTTCAAGTTTCTAATGCTTACATTCCAGGCTTTCCGTCAAGGTATCACTTGTTCAATTTGAAAGACTAGAAATATCTCAAAAAGGGTTTTGAAAGTGATGAGGTGCGGCACTACTATTTCATTGAACACAACTGTACCTGTACCTACAATCCTCTAGTTATTAATTATTTCTTATATCCCCTTTTTTCCTTTATTTTAAATCATAGTTTATATTAGCAGATAGTTGCTGATGATCTAATTTTGCAGCTAAAAATGTATGGTTGTGCCAAAAGGTAAAACTATACATAAAATCATTAAATAAAATACTTGAAAATGGTTTATTATTAACATACAACATTTTTGTGACCCCCTGATGCCATTAAGACACTGACGGAGACGAACATCGATGGTTTTCATAATTTGAAGAACTACCACAAACTCTACAAAGAAATGTCGCAAAATAATAATTAAATATGAGAATCAATTCTCTTTCGTCCATTTTCTTGTCGTCTTGCATAATTCTGTTGATTTCCCATAATTTGTTTAATTTCCTTGTCATCAAGCACCCAAATCAAAATTCAAGACGCACGTCTGACAATGTGAACGCCTTTTCTGCTTCATTGCGTCTATTCCGATATCGATAGGAAACGGGCCCAAAGTGAAAAGGCTATAACAGGAGTAAATTTGGCGCTTAACAGTACAAAGAGTAAACAAATTCACAAAAGAGATCATAATCGGATTCCTTAGCATTAAGTTGACAGAATTTTGTTTTTATTTTGGCACCAAAAATATTAAAGGAGTATACGAGGGCTGCTATTTATGTTTCTGGTCGAGGTGACTTTTAGCCTGATTAGGACCCAATAGTCATTTGCATTAAAAAGTAAAGTATTTTCTGGTATAAAACTTCTTATAACTTTTTCTTTTAAAGCCTAGTACTTAGACGCGCTAATTTTTCCGTCGACCGAAAGTTCTATATATTCGGTTCGGTGCCCAGTGTGACCAAAGTGGGCAACGTGTATTCTCTACGTTTATACTGTTTTGGGTTTGCTTACGAACGGAAATCTGTTTAAATTTAAAATTTTCATTAAAGCAAGCAGAAATGAGGGCGATGTGAAGATGGAGGACGACAATGCAAACCGCAATATTGGATAAATCCGAACATGCGGGACAGAAATGCAATCAACATGCTTTTTATTTCCTTTTATATGATTAAAATGAGTACCGAGTTTAAGATTAATAAGTAATAATATCCATATATTCGGTATTCATTCGACTGCCTTGATTAAATTTAATTTGTTTTCATTATTGCACTTTTGTAGCTGGCTTGCACTTGTTTACTTTTACTGTTTTACTGTGGGTGTGTGTGTATGTGCCTTGTGGATGACGAAAGATAGAATATTTATATGTTCCGTTCGAGATGGGAAAAGACCATCGGTTGCTTTTCTAGTATGTATCGAATGGCCTTTTGAAGGAACTGCGAAATTTTCGGTCGACCGAAAAACTGATGATTTCTTATCGTTTCCATACGAATATCATCCCTGATTCGGTCGACGGCAAATTTTAGCGCGTTTGAGTACAAGGCTTTACGTCCATGTTTAGAATCGATAAATGAAAACTTCATCTCAGAAGAAAATTTAAATTAAAGGCTTGTCTCCAGAATCGCGGGAAATTCCTGCCAGACATTTTCTATTTGTTCCGGTTGATGAATCAGCTGTGTGTTGTAAGCAGTGCCAATTTTGAAATTCTATTAAAATTAAGAAATGAAAAAAAAAAACGAGAAGGAACGTGTGAGTCGTTTCTGGGGACACGACTCTACTTATACCCGTACTCAGTCAGTATATACATTTTTGAGCTTATGATTTTTTAGAATTTTAGAAAAAAAATTTTACATTTTTTTGCTACATCTGCTATCTACATCTACATATACAATGTTTATTCTACATCTAACATGTAGATTGTACATTTTCCATTTAGATTCTACATCTCCTCCGCTAGGGGTTGCTCGCGCACTGAACGCGGCAGAGTGTGCGAGCGAGAAGGAAAATGAGTTGCGTTTTCGTTTTGCGGGAGGGGGCAGGGGAAGCTACTGAAAATTAATTTCTTCATTCTGGCTATAATTATGATCCGATCTTATTCAGATTCGGCAGTCTGGTAGAATGCGTTTTTAGTTTTATCGTATCTTTAAAAATGTGCCTGCCACAGATTTTCGTTCTTTGTGTGGGCGGAAGGGGGCGGGGCGAAATTTTGAAATACACTTGTAGCAGTGTGATATCACATGAATCTGGAAACCAAATTTGGTTTCTCTAGCTCTTATAGTCTCTGAGATCTAGGCGCTCAACAAGACGGACAGACAGACAGACAGACAGACAGACAGACAGACGGACAGACATGGCTATATCGACTCGGCTATTGATGCTGATCAAGAAAATATATACTTTATGGGGTCGGAAACGTTTCCTTCTCTGCGTTACACACATCCACTTTTACCACAAATCTAATATACCCCTTAACTCTTTTTTGAGTACGGG